AATAGTACTGTTTTTATCCGAAGACAAACTTTTCAGGGTGATGGATTCCTCTTAAGTGAAAACTTAATTTAAATTATTTAAGTCAGAATTAATTCACAGAAAACGCAATGTGTTTAAAGAAACCTTCCAAAAATTAAAACTTTCCAGCTTGAGAATAAAAAAGTCAAAGTCAAAATTATTATTAAGTAACTTTAAAAACGTTATAAAATGAGATACGAAATAATTTTTAATATTATGAAGACAATACTTCAGACCTGTCTCTACGAAAGTCAATGTGCGATTAGAACAGTTAAAAATATTCATTCCAGGTGCCAAGAAATTATTAATGTCAACACCTAACCTACGTAATTTGGATGAGTGTATATATTTGGTCCTTCCTATACTTTATTAATAAAGCTATCAAAAATGTTAGACATATATTATCTCCCACGGAGTTAAGGTGACCCGTAAAAAAAAAAATCACTGACACTATCACTCTTGCCAGAAGCGTGCCGACCACACTGCTCAGATGACACTACAAACTGCAACAGCCGTACCACTCCATCAAGCATTGCACTTTCCACCTCCAGGACTCAATTGGTTTCCTGAATAACTTCATGTCACTTTGTTCACTTTCCAATAGCATGTCAAGTCATAAAAACCATTTTTCCTTCACTCAACACTCTCGCACACACCTGTTGGATGTCCAAGCCCCTCGCGTACAAAAACCTCCTTTACCCTTCCCTCCAACCTTTCCTAAGACGACCCTTAACCCTTCTTCCATCCTCTCTAAATGTCTAGACCACTTCAATAACCCCTCCTTAATCTTGTGAATAGATAGTTAAGGAACCGTCAATGAATAAACGGAAGAAAGCGAGGGGGATTAGAAAAGTGGTCATTTTATGTAGCATACCCAACACTTCTACGGCTCAGCGACCGACCTTACATTACGATGATTTTACAAGCAGGTCTTCTGTGACATGTTTATACCAGCGGTATCAACTGTGACCCCAAATGGCTCTCTCATTGACGGTCCTTTATAATGACTTATTTAGGGTATATGGACTTATCAGACTATTTGACTTTCAAGGGGTATGAGACTAGTTGTTTCATACAAGCTCGTACTGAAGGGTCACAGATACAAACAAATCATAAAAGTGCTGTGTCTAAAATTTACCTATTGCAAAGCTCAATGGCTGAGTAATAATAGTGTTGGACCTGCTACATAAAAGAACATTGGTTCGAGTCCCTGTCCGGTATTATGTTTATTCATTAACAGTCGTTCATTATGACTTGAGTTTATGGCCAATACGACTTTGAGGAGGATAAGAATAAATAATCCATGATAACAGTTGATGTCGCAGATACAAATATGCAACAACAGTGCAGTTTGTGAAATTATCTTATCGAGAGCTCGGTGGGTGAGTGGTAACAGTGTTAGGCTACATGTAAACAACGTAGCTCAAGTCTCCGTCTATTCATTTTATTCACTAACAACCCTTCGTAACGACTTATCTTGGGTTTATGGACTATGTGACTATTCTTGGTATGGTAATAGATGTACCTTGAAAACCTTTGGGCCTGTGGTGTGAAACGATAGGGTACCAGTTGATGACTGAAACAAATACGTCACAAAATGCTGTCTGTAAAATCATGTAATAGCAAGCTTCGTGGCACAGGGCACAGCGTTGAGCCTACTACGCTTGCAGGCCCATCAGTTCTTCTGTTTATTAATATATATATACATATACATATATATATATATATATATATATATATATATATATATATATATATATATATATATATATATATATATATATATATATATATATATATATATATATATATATGGAAGATGAAAACCATTTTTTAACTCTTGGGCAGATTTATTAGAAGACATAGGCAATTGAAAAAAAAACCATTTTGTGCCATACGCCAACATTGTGAAGCCACAGACCACACTATAAACATGAAATCATTCACTGTGTTGGCCAGTCGATCCAATATCACTGAGCTAGCAACAGTGGTCTTTCTACACCATTAGAGACTAAGTCTTCCCCGTGTAATGATGAACGGTCAGTAGAGTTACTTTGTCTTTAGTTTTATTTTTTATTCTTCATGCATTATGCTTGTCTTTTACTTACCTTGATTTCGTATTTAACGTATGTTTAGATCTGGTTCTTATAGTTGATTTTGATAATTTTGTAGAGTACCTGATGATGCAGCAAGTTAACTCCTGAACTAGTCATGCATAGATGATGTTTCAAGCAGTAGCAGTGCTGGTTATCATCTATAAGACTCCGTTTCCCAAGGAACTCGTCAGTCCGTGATCTCTCTCTCTCTCTCTCTCTCTCTCTCTCTCTCTCTCTCTCTCTCTCTCTCTCTCTATAGAGAGAGAGTGAGATTGTTAAGCTGTGAACAGTTGTCTAGCATAGGCTAGTGGACATATTGCAGTAGGCATAATGTAGGAACACGGCAATAATGTCCACGAGCCTAAGTTCTTTAGTTTAAACCTTCTTAAACAACAAAGGTTCATTTTTTCTATGTGTGTTCGTGTGTTCACCTCATTGTATTCACCTACTTGTGGCTGCAAGGCTTAATCCAGGTTCCTGTCCCCGCCTCTCTGTTGGCCGCTACTGGTTTCACTCTCATGATACTTATTCTTAAAGCTATTTATGGACCCTGCCTCTGTCACTCCATTGTTAATGTCGTCCCATTTTCTGACAACTCCGAGGCTGAAGAAATACTCCCGAACATACCTGTGACTCATCTGTGTTTTCAGTTTTCAACTGTGCTCTCGTGTTCTTGTTTTTCGCATCTCAAACACTCTATCTCTGTTCACCATATCACTTCTCTTTCAGTATCGTAACATCCCTCACCATTCAGCATTCTAATGTCATCAGGTTTTTCTGCCTTAGTCTTTCTTTATATCTGATACCACCAAGCTCTGTGACAAGTTTCATTGCAAACTTCTGCACTTTCTCCAGTTGCTGACATGCTTGAGCAGGTGTGAGTTCCATTCTGGTGCTGCATACTCCAGTACTGTTCTGACATATGTCGTATATAGTGTCGTGAATAGCTCCTTGCTTATGTTCCTGAAAGCTCACATTAGATTTTCCAGACGTGCGTTTGCTGCAGCACATATTCGCTTGATGTGTTCTTCAATCGATATGTTCGATAAAATGCTTACCCCAGAGTCCTTCGTCTTATGTGAGGTTTGCAGCCATTGTCCCTCCCCATGCCTGTATTATGTTTGCAGTCTTCTATGCACGTACTCGCCATTCATACTTTGCAAATATTGGGATTAAATTCTAATAGCCATTTGTCAGACCCGGCTAGCCTTTTTAGGTTCATTTGCAGTTTTTCCAAGCCCTAACCTGTTTGTATTCTCTTCATCAGTTTCACATCTTCTGCGAAAACGGATGCCTTCTACTAGAGTCGGAGGTATCCCTTCTGTCATGTTGTTCACGTACACCGGAAGTAGTTACAATCCCAGTACTGATCCTTGTGGAACCCCGCTTGTCACATGCGCTCATTCAAACATTTTTTCTAGGACAATAACGCTTTGTATCCCTCCTGTTAAGTATTCCTTGATCCGTTGTAGTGCCTTTTCTGTTATTTCTGCCTTTTCCTGTACATTTTGACCCTGTCTCCTGTACGGTACTGTGTCAAAAGTTTTGTTACAGTCCCATAATATGCAGTTCACCCAACCCTCTCTCTCTCTCTTTTCATGCCTCATTTCTGTTACCTTTTCATAGAACTCTAATAGATTCATGAGACAAGATTTACCGGATATCTCTAAAGCCATGATGGTTATTTTTTATGAACGCGCTCTTTTCTGGGTGTTTCACCCCTCTTCTAATAATCTGCATAACTTGACATACTGTGTATGTCAGAATACCGGCCTGCTATTTGCCTTTCCTCTTTCTTAACTACTGAGACTACATTTCGTATCATCCACACCTCTGGCAGTTGTCCTGTAGTGATTAACTTGTGAAGACGTTGGTTGTGCGCTTGCGTGTATACATGGGTGCTGACGGGTGTGAGTGCAAGCGAGCACGATTGCAAGCAACTACAGAGAACATTAGAAAGATGGTTGGTAGTTTCTTGGGACTCTCGTCCCTTCTTCGAAACAGACAGCTTGTGCTGCTCTGCCCTGAGGCAGATCCCTCTTATTCTTTGGTACTGATGAAGCTGTAAATCACATTCCTGATTTTCTCTGAAGCTTCATGCATACACTGTAATCCCATAATCTAGTGATTCTTTTGTTTCTTGTTAAACAGGATGCGCCTCGTGTATTTTACCTTTTGTATTGTGTGTTACGTGTAACTGTAAAGTGTGATAAAATCATCTTCTAATAATATGTACAAATGTTTTCGTTAATGTCTGATTTATGCATTAAGTGTGTAATTTTGCATCTTCCCAAATGAGGTTTTTATATGCTATTTTTTCTCATTTTTTGGCTATATTTTACTTTTGATATTTCTGTAATATGCTGGTAAGCACTGGTGAAAAATATTGTTTATCTAAATACACATATCGTTGTGTGTACCTTACATATGAAGTCCAGAGAGCATTTTCTGAACAGATATATGAAAAATAAATCGTCTAAGGTTGAGGTAAGGACATTGGCTCTTACATAGTGTTTCCATAAAGGTTTTAAGCTTGACAAGTTCGTGCCAGAAGATAGGATGTTTTGAAATTTTCTCGTCCTGTGCCTGCCATTTGTGGGTTGGAATCCACAACACTCGGTGGTTTGAATGTAGACTAGACCAGTTCTTTTTAATGACCCTGAAAATAAGAAAAATACATTTTAATTAGATTTTGTTTTATTTGGCTTTGCAGTGTGCACGTTAAACATACATAAATAATCTTCCAGTTAATGAATACAGGACATATTTTAGCATGTTATAAAAGGGATTTTGTTATGTGACAACTAGAGGGTTGAGTTATTTAGTATCGTGAGCTACCTGGACTGCATGCCGGAATGCTCAGGCCATTTGTATCGGTCCCGCCAGCTCCCTGAATACATGCAGAACCTGAAGGAGCAACTGCAGGAGGAACTCAAGTCGACAACCACGGACCGGCGGGCGATGCTGGAAGCGGAGTTGCTGCGGCTTCACGAAGACCGCCGGCGAGCCCTCACCGAGAAGGACAAGGAACGCGAGGGCCGCCTCCGACGCGAGCTGGACCGCCTTGCTTCCTCCAGTTACTCAGGATCGCTATCGCTCAAGCAGAGGTTTGTTTAACCCTGCCCGGGAAATGACCAGTTTGGCTGCCCCTCCTTATTTAGTTTGCCGGTAGTTAATTAAGTAGTAACTATACATAGATAATTGGCTTCGATTTGGAAGGACCAAACTAACAACATAGTGACTAAACTGGTCCTTTGCCCATTGCTCTGAAATGCCACGCTTATGAATCTCCTCGCCAAGCTGTTTCATTACCAGTCTCTATCGGCTGCTATAATTCGACTAGCAAGACGAGCTGAGGCTTGGAGACAACTCTGATGAAGCATGCTTGGTCCCCCTTTCAGTCGTGCTTGGTCCCCTGTCACTCGTGCTTGCAAGCTAAACTCGAAAGTTGACCCGCAACTGAGACATTAAAGGCCGATTCAGACTTCATATAATGACAAATATGCAATGTTATTTTGTGTTGAGGCTTATTTATTAAACTCATTACTAAACAAAACTGCTTGTCTCAGTGTGCGAATTGACTTTCAGCACAATGCCGAATCAGGAAAACACTTATATGTATGCTTCTCATACTGCTCAGAATTGAGTGAACTTGTAACTTCAAGGAAAGTAGTGATTTAGCTCGGCTTCCAGAGACGGCAGTGTGTACCATTATAATATGCATGCGTTATTTTGTTTCGATTTATAGAATGGAAATTCAACGTCGTCTGGGCATGACTTCTGGCACGAGCAATACCACTGGGTCGGCCAACACCTCTCCTAGGAACCATCGCAGGCGGGGACACCGACGACAAATGTCCGACCCAAAGATTTTCTCCTCAGTCTCACCCTTAAAGGAGGACAGGGATATGGAGAAAGAGCTGGAGAGAGTAAGTTGTGACACGATGCTGGGCTCTCACATACGTTATTCTGGGCTTACTCCTCGCTCAATAAGCCTTTTCCGCTAGATTATATATTATTTTCATATTTCTAGGTCCCTTCAACAATTGCTACCCATACCTATCTCCCAACCATACATAATATACACATCCTTAAACCTTGCTGCAAGCTCACCACTCTCTCTTCCTCACCCATCCTAATTCATCCACATAATTCTGAAAGCGATACGAAATATCAATAAATAACTCTCCATATTCACCAGTCAAAACTGAATCCATTAAGCTCCACCGATTTAGAGGTAAGTTATGTTGTGTTGACCAGGTTTCAGGCGCTGTCATTAGCTGACCATTAGGTCAGAGATAAAGTCAAAAGAATCACTTAAGACAAAACAGAATTATTTTAATTGTATGGTTGCCTATCTTAGGTAAATGCTTTCACATTTCTTATAGTGAACAGAATAGGCACTTAAAGGTTAAGGAGATTTTTATTATCAACATTTGTTGACAGTGTTTACATTAATAAAGGTAATTTCACAATCAGTGCTTAATAGTAAAAAAAAAATATTTTATGGAACGACCAACACATTATCCTATAAACATTTGACTTTCGTTACCTTTTTTGTAGACTCTGAAACAGACCACGAAGTATATTATACACAAAAATGTTTTACTTTTGCATCACAATGAGAATTTTACTCGTACTATATAATATTTTTTTAATGTTACAGCTGTCGTATAGAATATAAGCAAACAAATTTTGATAAAAAAATCCGCAGATATAGCAATAGGAATTGTTGTGTTTCCTGTACACAAAAGACATAGAAGCATGTATATAGGATATATATATATATATATATATATATATATATATATATATATATATATATATATATATATATATATATATATTTATGTAAGACGCTCGAGGACAGCCTTAAATAACACGATGATACTTTAAGGATTACACAGGAGGAGTCCAACTTACTGCTCTTACATTTACAAAACTCTGGACATGCACTGAACTAGCACAGACCCAGGAGCTGCTTTCCACTATCTTGTATTACCAATTTAACATTACTGTTTCCTGCATATATAAACAATGAGGATCATCACATCAATAGCTAAATTTCTTGTATGTTTCAATTGATTAATTTCGTGATTCTACGTTGTCTGAAAAATGTCGCATGAAAGTTAGTACGTTCCTAAAACATATCACAAATGTGCCACATCCTCCTGATCAACGTCAGTATATGACTTTGGCTTAGAAAGGAAAGCTGTGACTCTGACATTGGAATGAAAATGTGATTCATCTAACTGTCAGATTTATTCTCGTTGAGTGTATCTCCACTCTCTGTTAACAACAACAAAACAAGAAAAACAACGACAACAATACCAAACACAAAAACAACAATAGTTATCACCACAACCACCACTACAACAACAAAGATTAATAATAATAATTGTAATAATAATAATAAAAATAATAATAACTATAATAATAATAATAACCACATTTTGTATCATCTTGGCTTCTTTCCGAATTGATTGAATCTCTCTTTCTGTCTGACGTACACCATTGGGCAATGTGTCTATGGTCACTGATATGAATGATCACCGTAGTCCTCAGTATATGGTGTCACTGGTGTAAATCATCACTGTGGTCCTCAGTATATGGTGTCACTGGTGTAAGTGATCACTGTGGTCCTCACTGTAAGGTGTATCACTATTGTAAGTGATCACTGTGGTCGTCAATGTATGGTGTCACTGTTATGAGTGATCGTTGTAGTCCTCAGTGTGTGGTGTCACAGTTGTGAGTAATCGTTGTAGTCCTCAGTGTATGGCATCACTGTTGTGAGTGATCATTGTGGTTCTCAGTGTGTCGTATGTCACAGATGGTCATTGGTCTAGTATCAGGCCGCCGTGACTTTTATGTACATGTGAGCCAACAGAAATACACTGCACAATTTAAAGACGTCTCATATTACTTATCTCTGGAGTTAATCGTGAAATTAAAAAAAAATAACTATGTGCATTTAGGTCGCCATACGATTCGAGAAAGGAATCCACGTGTTGTCTAACCCCAGCACTCTCTACCTCAGTGCCCGCGATTGGAATAGTGCCAAGTGCGGCATACGTTTCTAATGTAGTTAAATAACAACACTGCTGCTATTTAACTACATTAAATAGCATTAAATAGCATACATGCTGTAGTTAAATAACAGCAGGCTATCATATGGAATTTGATATCACAATTCCTGCCTTACAAATAGCAAATTAGAATCTCTAACTTTGAAGCTAAACTGAAGAAGCATTTTCATTTTATTTGATACCTATATCTTGAAAATAGATAAGTCTCCCCTTATTAAATTTAAAAAACTCTAAGAAAACGAGTTTTTTTTTTTCAAATTCTATATAATTTCATAAGGAATTATTTTTTTTACTTTTTTTAAGAAAATCAGATTAATTAAAAATGCTTTAAAAATTTCAGATCACCACATATCCCAAAATTAATACAGAAATAAGTTCTAATAAAGATTCACCAGCGTTTAGGGTTTCAAGCCGATCGGAAGAGACACTCTGTAGTTATTACATGGAAAACAATAATATAAAATAATCAAATTGAAATTTCCATCAATCAAAGTGAAAGACAAATTCTCATTTTAATAAAATTCACTAAACGTCCCTCTTTGGTAATACCTGTTTTAGCATTATCTGTAGAAATTGATTCCTAGTGCAACAGTGCCAGCTGGTGAGCGGCACGTACATGTTTTAAACGTTTTTCGAAGAAGCTTAGGAAGCTTAGACTGTCGAGTGGTTGTCTTGAGAGTGGTGAACGGCTCTTGATACAAGGAATTGGTGGTAACCTCCCGTTTCTTGGGTCAAACTTGATTACTTTCTAATCCCCTGACGCTGTGTGACCTTTATGAATCGACGAATTTAATTTGTTTTTAATAATTATCTAAGACACTAAAGCATCTTTTAATTCCACTTTTTTTTGTGTTGACTTGTGTGTCCGGGTGAGGTAATTTTGAGTCTGAGGTATTACTGTTGCGACTTTGGGAATTATTCCATCCTGAGCGGTTCCTTAATCTTCTCTGGTCTGATGATAAACAAATGAACCTTAGGCAACATAACTCAACTTCTCGTTTTTTGGTGTTTTCCACACACACACACACACATACACACACACACACACACACACACACACACACACACACACACACACATATATATATATAAAGCATATTCATACACATATAAATATACAAATACATATACAGAACCTATTCATAAACATATTTAGCTCTTCAGAGATAAACAAATAGCTCTTGGGTCACTGTAGTCTCCAATGAGTTTATCCTTTAAGTTCATTACTGTGAGTAACATGATGGCCTGCGTGTTTGCTGGAACGAGGCCGCAGCGATGTTCAAGGTCGCCGTATTTTATGGCACTCTTTTTATGACTGATGCTAGAGGCGTTGCTGCCTTAGTATAGTAATTAATCACTCCTCGTAAGAAAACGTAAATTTTGAACGATTAAGATGTCGTGTGTGAAGCCATGTTTATTAATGAAGTTATCTTTCATTTATCGTCATCCTCTTTCATCAAGTGTCTTCAGTGTTTTCCCGGCCCCAGGGCCAGACTCATGGAACTCCGTGTTCATCAAGAACTGCAAGAAGCCCCTATCACGAGCCTTTTCCATCCTATGGAGAGGGAGCATGGACACGGGGGTCGTCCCACAGTTACTAAAAACAACAGACATAGCCCCACTCCACAAAGGGGACAGTAAAGCAACAGCAAAGAACTACAGACCAATAGCACTAACATCCCATATCATAAAAATCTTTGAAAGGGTCCTAAGAAGCAAGATCACCACCCATCTAGAAACCCATCAGTTACACAACCCAGGGCAACATGGGTTTAGAACAGGTCGCTCCTGTCTGTCTCAGCTATTGGATCACTACGACAAGGTCCTAAATGCACTAGAAGACAAAAAGAATGCAGATGTAATATATACAGACTTTGCAAAAGCCTTCGACAAGTGTGACCATGGCGTAATAGCGCACAAAATGCGTGCTAAAGGAATAACAGGAAAAGTCGGTCGATGGATCTATAATTTCCTCACTAACAGAACACAGAGAGTAGTCGTCAACAGAGTAAAGTCCGAGGCAGCTACGGTGAAAAGCTCTGTTCCACAAGGCACAGTACTCGCTCCCATCTTGTTCCTCATCATCATATCCGACATAGACAAGGATGTCAGCCACAGCACCGTGTCTTCCTTTGCAGATGACACCCGAATCTGCATGACAGTGTCTTCCATTGCAGACACTGCAAGGCTCCAGGCGGACATCAACCAAATCTTTCAGTGAGCTGCAGAAAACAATATGAAGTTCAACGATGAGAAATTTCAATTACTCAGATATGGTAAACACGAGGAAATTAAATCTTCATCAGAGTACAAAACAAATTCTGGCCACAAAATAGAGCGAAACACCAACGTCAAAGACCTGGGAGTGATCATGTCGGAGGATCTCACCTTCAAGGACCATAACATTGTATCAATCGCATCTGCTAGAAAAATGACAGGATGGATAATGAGAACCTTCAAAACTAGGGATGCCTAGTCCATGATGACACTCTTCAGGTCACTTGTTCTATCTAGGCTGGAATATTGCTGCACACTAACAGCACCTTTCAAGGCAGGTGAAATTGCCGACCTAGAAAATGTACAGAGAACCTTCACGGCGCGCATAACGGAGATAAAACACCTCAATTACTGGGAGCGCTTGAGGTTCCTAAACCTGTATTCCCTGGAACGCAGGAGGGAGAGATACATGATTATATACACCTGGAAAATCCTAGAGGGACTAGTACCGAACTTGCACACGAAAATCACTCACTACGAAAGCAAAAGACTTGGCAGACGATGCAACATCCCCCCAATGAAAAGCTGGGGTGCCACTAGCACGTTAAGAGACCATACAATAAGTG